GCCTACTCTGACCTGGATTTAAAAAAATAATACTAATTAAATTACAGTTGATCTAACAGAATAATTTATTTGGCATTAGAGCTAACAATCGTGAAAACCAGAATGGGGAATATTTACAACAGTGATTGTAAACACTAACAAACACCTTTTTGGCTCACAACTTTACACAACTTTAACATCTTCAATCACAGGAATACAGGAATTTATAGCATTTTTAAAAAGTTATTTAATTGTTCAGTATTTCACGACTACACCATTACATAGTGATTAAAGTACACATAAATAAAATTGATGAATCAGCATAGTTCAGCTTAGTTTTAATTTTTCGATAATTAATCCATCAAGATCTAAACAACATTGCTGAGTATATTTTTATAAAACACAAAGCTTCACCTGTCCAGAGTTCACAGCAGAATGTTGGACCGAGCCAGTGAAGATCACCATGGTGACGAACTTCACCAGATCAGCCACTGTGGTAAATTTATTTGGGATTCCTAATAAAGAAAAAAAATGCAGAAATATATACAGTACTTGCTTCAAAAGATTGTATGCCTCCACTATATACAGCTCATCCAAAAGGCTTACGTGGACTCAATATTTTTAACATTATCATTATCATAGTTTGGGTTTCTCAAACTTGAATACATTTTAAATGTTTTAAATTTGCACAAATTGAAGGCTGAAGACATTTTCAATGGTCACATAACTGCACCGTCTGATCACAATTACAGAAGAATTGGAAGAATCAAGATGAAGCAGAATATTGAGCCAAGTATAGCTTTAACAAATGTTTTTGTTCTATTCCAGTAACTATTGTATTGTACAAGGTGGGTTCACCACAAGGGGAATCAGATCAAAAGTTTAAAAAAAAAATGACATTCCAGTAGGACAATGACCAAAAACAACCATCAAAAGCAGTTTTGCAGTTGATAGGTAAAGCAAGAGAATATTAAGCTTCAGACTGGTTCTTGGAAATTAACCACACTTTTTAAATCTCATATTTAAGGAGATGGTTCACTAGGAACAATAGAATACATTGGTAAGGATCAAGTTTGTACAACTGAACCTTGATGTATATCAAATCTTTTTGATGCCAATGAGGATTTCAGACAGTGCTCTTTTAATTCTTTAAAATAATCCTTTGTGATATCAGCTAACTTTTTGAGTTGAGCAACCATAAAGCTTTTTATTTTTCATTCTATTGATCAATAGGCTTTCTTAGTGTAGACCAGGGGTCTTCAACATTTTCAAAGCCAAGGACCCCCAAACTGATTGCGAGATGGAGCGGGGACCCCCTAATTATATATATTG